CCTTAATTATTTCCTTATCAAATATACTTATTTGGGGAGAAAAGATGCACTTTATTTGCCCATGTTGCAAACTCCACCTGGGATCTATAAATCAAGCTATGTTCTGACTGCAAACCTTACATTGTTTGCAGTAATAAAGATTCTTCATCGCCAGATATCTAGTTATGCAGTATCAGTGTGTTGTCCTCCATGGCTTTTCACGTGTGTAACTGATTGGAGCTTAGTAAATCATCATATTGATGATCTGCAAAAAGGGACAGTTTCAGTCTCCTTGCTTCTTATATTGTTTCTGGAGTGCTCATAGTGGGAATGTGAATGATTAACCAGTAAGGATCACTCCAAGTGATGCTCACTGGTTAAGGATAACTGTAGGGGGGCTGAAGCAGCCTGCTGCTCACCATGGACAGTAGGCTGCTATAGCTCTGTGGGGCCGCAGGCTTGGGGTGCTCTAGTCTGGCCTGAGCAGCGTCCACCCACAGCAGGCCGTGTGTGGCGCTCCAGTCCAGCTTGCCTGCCCACCCCTCTTTAAGCGGTTAACTGGTTAAACATAATGTTAAATCAGTTAACTGATAAAATTCCATTTAACGTCCCTAGCTCATAGTTGTAAAAAAAATTTGGATTTTAACCTGTAAATAGATCTACATGAGTACACCCTTGTGCTCAGACAAATCTCTTTGCACAAATCAGTCCATTTTATTCATAAAAGTAAGAGTACCATGTGTGACTGAAGAGAGCAGATCTGCTCAATTAGTGTATACAGGCACTCCCTGAGTTATGAACATCTGCACATACAAACAAAAGCTCACCTGTTGCCTCAAACAGGGATATCCTTAGGTCCTATGTGATAATGTTAAACTGGTTCCTGTGATGATTTTTTTTTTAAACAATCTTTAGCCACACATTAATGAAATATTTTTCAAGGGGATTTTGAACTAAGCTCCTGTAGACTAACACCGTAAATGCAGAAACTGACAGTATATACCTGAGGTTGGCAGATGCTTTTTAAATGACTTTATTGCCACTTGAATGGCTCTTTCACAGATTCAATGTTCTGCTAAGAAGTCTGGTAGAATTTTTCACCTTTAAGGATATGTGTTTGGTCATACTGGGTCAGACCAAATACCCATCTAGTTCAGTATCCTGTTTCCAGCAGTGGCCAATGCCAGTTTTATCAGGCTCTTCTCATATGGCAGCCATTTCATATATGCAAATTTTAAGTTAACAAGATCCTCTTGGGAGAAAGCAGAGCCACAGGGCAGGGATAGGAAGAGATGTGGATATTAAGCCCCTGTGGTGCCCCTTCACTGCTAATTGTCCATATGGGTAAGGATGGCCGTGGCTTCAGAGGAGCAGGCAAGGCACAAGGTGATGGTGAGCAGCACAACTGATGGCTGGAGGACTCCAAAGGAGCAGGGGATGGTCATCCAGTCTACAGCTGGAGAGAAGCAGTGCTTTGAAGGGGAAACTGCCACTTCTGTCCAGCTGCTGACTGCATGGCCATCCTCTGCTCCTCAAGAGTCTTCCGGCATATGGTTGTACTGTTCATTGCCTCCTGCTGAGTAGGAGCTGAGTGCAGCCTGTGAGGATGGCAGCCATGGGATTGGGCTGGCTACAGGAACCAGCACAGAATTTGCAGGGAAGATGAGGCAAACGAGATGCTTATAAATCCCATTCAGAATCTCCACCTACCACTTCATCCTCCTTTAATTAAACCTGCCTTTCCTCAAGTACCAACATTCAAGGTTAAATAAAAAACTTATTTCTACTATTTTTCATTACAAATATAATAATTTCCAGCTACATTATGGGTTAAATAGGCTTTTTGGAGCTAGCCTGAGAACTTAACTGTCATTTATTATATTGTTTCTGTGGGAAAATGCATTCTGAGTTCCAAACAACCAACTTACAAAGGAACTTTTGGAACACAACCCATTTGGAAGTTGGGGATTTGCTGTGCCAGGTCTAATAGTTGCATTTCAGTGTAGGGCAGCACTTCAGGTTGTCTATAATGGTTAAAGGCCTCAAAATATCTGAAATTTGCAATTTACCTTTCAAACTCCACGTGTATGACTAACATGAGCGAAAATAACTTTCACCTTCTCATTCTCCTCCAGCTATCTGTTTTTTATTTCACTACAGAAGCTGAAAGAGGACATAAAATACAGATTTTTGGGTTTGATCCATTTCCTAGTAAGAGGCAGTGTGTCTTTCTGCTGTCATCCACCAGATTTAAATAGGTGATTTGCCATAAAAAACCAAATTTGTCACAATCACAACTGAAACCATTTTTTTTCTTGCTACCTTCATTTTTACTAGGATGAAAATGGTGCAGTAATGAAGTTAGTTGCATTCCTATTCATCTTATTATAGAAAATCAAGAAGATAATAAAACTTCCGCTCTACTCTGCGCTAGTTAGGCCTCAATTGGAGTATTGTGTTCAGTTCTGGGTACCGCATTTCAAGAAAGATGTGGAGAAATTGGAGAGGGTCCAGAGAAGAGCAACGAGAATGATTAAAGCTCTAGAGAACATGATCTATGAGGGAAGACTGAAGGAATTGGGTTTGTTTAGTTTAGAAAAGAGAAGATTGAGGGGGGACATGATAGCAGTTTTCAGATATCTTAAAAGGGTGTCATAAGGAGGATGAAGAAAACTTGTTCATCTTGGCCTCTGGAGATAGAACAAGAAGCAATGGGCTTAAACTGCAGCAAGGGAGGTTGAGGTTGGACATTAGGCAAAAGTTCCCAACTGTCAGGGTAGTCAAACACTGGAATAAATTGCCCAGGGAGGTTGTGGAATCTCCATCTGTGGAGATATTTAAGAGTAGGTTAGATAAATGTCTATCAGGGATGGTCTAGACAGTATTTGGTCCTGCCATGAGGACAGGGGACTGGACTTGATCTTTCGAGGTCCCTTCCAGTCCTAGTATTCTATGATTCTAAAATCAAGAAGATAATAAAGCCTCCTTTTATGCCAACCCCACTAATTAATTAATGTTCCTTTAATTGATTATATTATATAATTCAATAAAAAGATTTTTAAATTTCTTCTATATTACCTCGGGCTTTTAACTTAATTTTCTGTTCGTATTCATGCTACCTGATAAGTTTACTTGTTTGACATTGTATCTTTCTAAATGCTCCTTCATGATTGATTCAGCTGTCAATATGCCAATTTAATCAGTTAGTGTTACTATAGTATAGTTTCGTCTTTGTAAAAGTTGTTATAAAAAGAGTTATTTTCATACATTAAATGTTTGTGTCTGTCTTATGTTTCATGTTGCAGTTTTAGTCAATTTCTAAAGAGTTTAGTGGAGTTTAAAGAAAATATATACATAATGTATGTCAGTGATCTCCAACCTTTTTAAGCACGAGATCACTTTTTGAATGTAAGAGCAGTCCAGATTCTACCTCAGACCCAAATATGCTTTCCTCCCTTCATGCCACTTCTCTGAGGCCCTGCCCCTGGATGCTCCATCTTCCCTGCCTCCCCATTCTTCCTCCCTTTCACTAGGTAGTGGCAGAGGGTTGGGGCACAGGCTCTAGTCTTGGGCTAAGAGATTTGGAGTGTGAGGAGCTCTGAGCTGACCCTGGGGCAGGGAGTTAGGGTGCAGGAGGGGCTTCATGACTAGTGCAGGGGTTTGGGATACTGGCTCTCAAGCTGGACACTACTTACCTCAGGTGGTTCCTGGGTTGTGGTGCAGTGAGGCTAAGCAGGCTCACCCCTGGCCTGGCCCTGCACCTTTCTCAAAAGCAGCCAGCGAACTCTCTCCATCCCAAGCCCTGTGTCTCACCAATCCATATTGTGGAGATAGAATATAGGGTGGAATGGGGCATTAGCACTCCCTCCTCTCCTTTCCCTGCCCTGCACAGAAAGCAGGAGGCTCATGAGGCAGGGCAGTTCCAAGGCAAAGGGCAGAAGGTGCACAGCAGTGGGGGAAAGGGCAGCTGAAGGGCTAGCACTTGATAGCCTCTTGGCCAAACCAGTCAGGATCACCTGTCAGAGGCTCCATGATCTACCAGTAGATCCCAATCTACTGGTTGGTGACCACTGATGTATGTATTTCTAAATCGTTTGATTGCCTCTAAACTTACTTCATTTTCTTAAATCTGTGGACATAAATATTACGTGTAAGTTTGTCATCTTTAGTTCTGATCCTGCATTAGGATCCACTAGCATAGACTAAGTATGTTAAATTGTGGTTATCTGGATAATCGTGTAGTTGATACAATTTGTATTGAATGCATGATTAGTTGATGAGGGTTGCTCTACAAAGCCACAGCAGGGGTAGCTCCAGGAGCCGGCATGAGCCAGGACTAAGCAGTCCTGGCTCCTGCCAGCTCCAGGATCCTCCCGCGCTGTGGCTTTACGTGTAAAATGTAGAAAGAGCCGCTGGGTTCTTACTACATTTAAAATACAGAGGCACAGATCCCTGGACCAGTGCGAGCTGGGACTGCTCAGTCCCGGCTTGTGCTGAGTCCAGCAGCCCCTGTTCATGGTGGTCAGCTCTGTCTGCTGCCGGAGCAGCCTCTGATTGTGGATGTCAGGGCTGGCCCAGCCCTTTCCACTGTGAACAGAGGCAGCAAAATGTGGGGGGAGCGAGTAGTTGATACTCCAGTCAACTATCTGATAAACTTATGCTTATTGGGTAGTCGACTGCTCGCTAAAATCCCTAGCATAGACACTTGCTTGCCCTGTTGAGAATCCACATATGGAAGGAGTCCATGCTGAGTCCAGAGCTAGATAGAGCGGCTAAAGATTTCACCAGTGACATTAAATGGCATGTTATACAGAAGTATGTATTCGTGGTTCTTTAAAAATATTTCTTGATGAATATAAAGACCCAGTTTTGTATATAGTGAACAATAGTCATGCTTGACAAGTATTACATAATGTGTGTAAAATTTTACTAGGAAATATTGCTTACCAAGTGTCTTTGAAGTTTTAAATTTGGGATGAATATTTAGAACAGGAAACTCATTATTACTATTTTTTTTTTAGGTGTTTTGTGGTTACTCTCTTATTTGGAAAAACAAATTCAGAAAAGTACCTTGAACAGTGTGAACACTCATTTCTTCCTCCTACTTCTGTTGGGATTTTTAAGGTAAGCAGTATAAGGACAATTTATGATGCTTTATAAAGTTTTAAATTTGGGATGAATATTTAGAACAGGAAACTCATTATTACTATTTTTTTTTTAGGTGTTTTGTGGTTACTCTCTTATTTGGAAAAACAAATTCAGAAAAGTACCTTGAACAGTGTGAACACTCATTTCTTCCTCCTACTTCTGTTGGGATTTTTAAGGTAAGCAGTATAAGGACAATTTATGATGCTTTATAGCCTTGGTCACCGACCAGTCTATCAGGAGGCATTTCAGGCACCTCCTCT